TTGATGGTTTTGAAGAGGACAGCTCGATAGTTCTTCAGTGTACCAGCAGGTTCCTTTCACATTATAATGTTGCTGTCACCGACACATTTTATATACGGGGTATTGAAATGTTTCCTCTAACAAAAGCCATATTTTCAATTTCAAGCGAGGATGCATATACTTGGTTACAGCAAGACACATTTAGTCAAGGCCTTCTTGAGGAGATTTGTAATCACAACCTACTTGTTCGGCAGAATGACGTCCTACTTGCACCCTATCCCAGGTTGTTTCTAGAGGATGAAAACTTTCGCCCATCGTGGTACTTTCATATTAAAGCAATATCTTGTGTCCCATTTCAGATCGGGCTTATGACCCAGACAACAGAGATAATAATTTTTTATGAGAAAGCACTGACACATCTTCCGTCTGATCACCGACATCTTTCAGGAAATCACCTTGATAACTATGTCGACTTAATGCAAAGTAAATTTTTGCTTTCTGACTTCTGCCGCACACAGTCAATTGAAAATGATAACGAATCAAGCCTTTTTACAAATACAGAGTCATTGCTGACTTCCGACATTTTTCCATCAAGTGCGCTTGTCATTCAACAAGTCATTCATTGGAGAAAAGTTCTTCTGAAAGATGAAGACTTTGAGACTCTAGATCTGACATCGGTACTGGGTATGCCCAAGAAACTTATGCGGAAACATGGTATATTGAATGGAGCTATCGTCAAAATTGTTCTTTACCCAAAAGAGTTGTTGGAGGAAGTAAATGTTGATGATGCAAAAACGTATATTAAACAAGCAAACCTCAGACACAAATTTGTCAAAGTTCACAGTTTGTCCAGAAGACTCGATGACACCGACAGAGTTTTTATATCGTCCATGCTTTTGTTTAACCTGCAGGAGTCGCCACCAGTCAACAGATCACCTCTTCTCATCATTGAGGTGTGTCTTCAGGTTTCTGTTTTGTTCTTGCTTTGAATTTTCTTGAGATCTTATGTCGATGGTTAAAGGTTAAAGGTAATGTTGACCGCATCACCCACTGAGTATTGATTGGTCTATAAAATATAGGCCGAGCACTATATGCCAACTACACCTTGAGGCGTGGAAAGGGTCCTTTACATAAGGGCTCTTTCAAAGGTTGAAGTCGAACAGATCAACTTCATTGTACCAGGATTAATCATATATGGCTCTCTCTCTCTCTCTCTCTCTGCAAAATAGCTAGCCATCTTTGAAGGTGTCATACAAAGCACAAACTCCAAAGCTCCAGTGACAGTCCTCAGAGTTCTCTGTAAGAATTGCATTCGTGAACCAAATGACACAGTCCATGAATTGAACTCATGACCTTCAGAGCATGAGGCAGATGGCTTGTCCACTTCACCATAGGGGCTCCTCGTCTTGTGTACACGTCAAAGGTGAAAGGATCCCCATTATTGCACTAGATCTTCTTGGTCATTAGCAGGACAAGCCCTTGAGGTCCGTTGCTGCAGACGTCATCTGTGCTCACTCCTGAACTTCAGTCTGGTTCCAGAACTCGGATTTCACAAAAACTTTAATTTTACAGATCTGGCTTATATATATATTCAGACTGTTGTTTCCTTGCCGCTCAGGCAGATGCACTCCAACCGTGAAGGAGAGATCTAATTAGTCGATTGTTACTAGATGTTTGTTTGGGAGGCAGTGGGACTATTTGTCTCCCACAATGGAGCCCTAGAACCCACACAGGATGTGCTTGCATATGAATACAGTTCTGGTGTTTTGGTGGGAGATTTAAAACATTGGGTGACAGCTGTATGATTTTAAATTATCCCAGAGCTGAAGAGTAAAGACAATAGAAGAGGAAAGAGTTAAAAAGACTTAACGTACCTCAATACGCTTAGACTGGAAGATTCCTTTTAATTTGACCTGGTCATGCTAGTCACGGTTGCCATTGCCATGGGGTGAGATTCTCATGCCTCCCTTCTTCACAGTGGATACCTGTTGTCTAGAAGGATGGAAAGGACAAACAATAAGTCTAAAATGTTGAAGTAAAAAAGGAAAGAGTAAATAAGAACTAGATATCTGGACATTCTGTGTTTAAAGAAAATTAAAGCCTAAACAAGAAGGTAAGAAGATCAGGAGGACGTAGCATGAGCTGCATGCTATTGCACAGGATAGAAGGACTTGACCTGAGTTGGTTGAGGGCTAGTTTTTCTCCAGAGCAGTGGTTCTCAGCCTATGGGTCCCTTTTAGGAGTTGAAAGAAACTTTCACAAGGGTTCCAGGGCCCTATTATAGGGAAAACAAGAATAGACCCACTGCCTACCCAAAAGCATGTCGTAAGAGTCAATTAATTGGGAGCTTCCTTCGAAGTCGGAGTGCATCTGCCTGAGAGGCAAGAACTAGCAGTCTGCATACAAATGAGTCAGATCTGTAAAACGGATGCACGTGCAACACTCAGGTTCTTTAACAGGACTGCAGTCCAGAAGTGGACGAGCAACCAGAACTTTCCGCCGGAGTTTACAGCTGGCGAAGAAGAAGAAGATAAGGGGTCACTTAAGACCATTGGAAAACACATATTCACTGAAATTATAAAGTAACAAGAAAAATAATTGTATGGTTGGGGATCACCACAACATCCAGAACTGTATTAAGAGGTGGCAGCGTCAGGAAGGTTGAAAACCACAGCTCTAGGGAATAAAAGACAAGAAGAAGCGTCCTCATGTGGGATGCAATTTTTTGTTATCTGAAGCCCCACCCTGGCTTTTGCCGGGGGCCCTGAATAAAGCTGGGCCAAAAATATGACCTAACTGCTGAAAAGGGTTTCTGAGATCTTTTCACAGGTGATCCTCATCCGCATGGTGGCACTTTGTGTCACCGGGTGTTTATCGCTTGTGTGATGTCCTGGTGGGGTATAATAAAAAAGAGAGACTGTGATATTCCTTTGCATTCTAGGCTGGAAGAAGAAAGGTTGAAGAAGACTACATCTTTGTGCTTTAATATATGCAAGGAAATACAGTAAAACTTTGATTAACCATCACTTGTTTAACCCTTAGTTTCTGTAATCCGTCACCATCTAAAGAAAGACTGAGACTGTAAGTGTTGATGAAAGTATGTGGCAGTATAGGACTGAACAGTGAAAACAGGACGCCTAGTAACAGATTGTTAAGAAATTTAACAAAATGGATGGAGGCTGTGAAATTTTGAACAATGTTGAAACTGTTTCTAGTGTGACGACCTTTGAAGAAAAAGAAGAAACCGATGGCAATAAAGGATCCATTCTTAACCAGAAACCTACAGCCAGTGAATGCAAAGAAGATGAGACATATATAAATAATGACACTGATATAACAATGCCAATTGTCTACAGAAACCAACCATCCCAAGAATGGACAGCGAGACTGACATTGATGTCAAGCCAAAGACATCCCACTCCCTGACCGTTACCATCCCTGTGGCCAGTGAGATGCAGTTCATGATCATCAGCTCACCGTGCTACACTCTCCGGGCTAACCACACCCAGTCCCTCAACAAATACTTCCAGATACCCAGGTGGGCACATCCCCTGTGTTTGCATTCCTTTAGTAGAATCCGTAGAAGATCATTTATGTTTAAAATATGCCAGGCTGGTTTTTTATTGGGGGGGGGGGGGGTGGCCAATAGTCACCACCCAGTGCATATTTGCATATTACAGTAGTACTGAAAAAAATGTAACTGCAAAACTATGGTAAGTGAAGACGTTTTTGTTTTAAATTCTGTTCTTGTGAAATTAACGCCTGCTGAATACTTCTTTCCTACTAGCTATAACAGTATTAAACATATAATTATCATCATTTTCAAAATGTACATTCATTTACCTTTAAAAACGTGAACTTTTATAGGGTTTAGAAGTATATTACATTCTCTATTGCCCTTTTTTGTACACCACCGCCTCTGCCATTTTTATAGGGAACTAGACCCTCTGCCTTTTTTGTAAAGGGAAATTATTGTGGGCCAAGTCTGTCAAAATTCCTGGGCCTGAAAGAGTTAATAACTTCTGCTGTGATACTGTCTGGACCTTCAGAAAATTGATAGCTTTCCTAATTTCCTCTTGAGAGGGTATCTCACAGTTGGATATTCAGTTCCATTTCTAAAGACTGGATATCTGGGGCTTGTTGTTAGTTTAAGAAATTGTATTATCAGCTATTTTTAAGTCATTCACGGAATTTGATAATTGTTTATTGAAATTAAAATTATAAAAATTATAATTACTGTATAGCAAAACAATTACATTAAAAAAACTGAATTATTATTGCTGAAAACAGATATTTAATATTGTTGATATTTTTAAATTTTACTTTTGTTTCAGGTTGCTGAGCATAGGTGATGTTTTTGCAGTGAGCAGCATCGGTAAAGTCTGGCCTATTTTTATTCCTAAATTTACATTAACCTGTCGCCATGGTAACGCTAAATAAAGGGACATAACTTCTTTAGAATTACATAAAAACATCCATCTAAAAATGTTTTAACTGTTTTATACAGGTTATTAAAATTACATTAAAAATGTCTCTTTCCACGGGTGATCCTCATCCGCATGGTGGCACTTTGAGTCACTGGGTGTTTATCGCTCGTGTGATGTCCTAGTAGGGTACAACTTATCTACCTATGACCTCTTTCACTGATGCTGCAGAAACATTTGATGTCATCTTAGCTTTCTTCTTCTTCTTCTTCGCGTTCACCAGCTGTACACTCTGGCGGAAAGTTCTGGTGGCTCGTCCACTACTGAACTGCAGTCCTGCTCCAGAACATGAGTGTTGCATGTGCATCAGTTTTACAGATCTCATTCGCTTGAATACAGACTGTTGGTTCCTTGCCTCTCCAGCAGATGCACTCCGACTTCAAAGGAAGCTCCCCAGTTAGTCGACTCTGACAACATGCTTTTGGGGAGGCAGTGGGTCTATTCTTGTTTTCCCCACAATGGGGCCCCGGAACCCACACGGGGGTTCTTAGCTTTTAAAGAGGCTTGAAGGACACCCCCACCACCCCACCCTCCTTTTTTTTTTTTGTTATAAGGGGAAGTCAATAACTAAGACACAAATGGTTATGGGATAGCAGGAAAATGTAGTTGATTGTTTCTAAAGGTGTCATTAGGTGACAGCAACATCGAACTTTATGTCTTCGTTCGTAAGGTGGCGCTAGGTGTTGCATGCGCATTGGCAACACAGCAACAAAATATACTTGCAGTGTACCATCAAAGAACAACGTGCTGTTATGCGTTTTTGGGGGGCAAAAAAGCTGCCTGCAAAAGAAATTCATAAAAGAATTGCTTCCTGTTTAATGCTGAGAAGTTTTTATTCTGTAAAGTGGTCTGCTGAAAAACCCACCTTGGCAGGAGACCTTTCACGATTGATGCAGAAGTTGAATGTGAAGTTAACATGTGGTTTAGAAAACAAAGCATGCAGTTCAATGCAGCAGGTTTGGGAGGACTGATAAAACAACGGGACAGGTGCATCAGTGTTAATAGAAATTATGTTTAAAAGTATAGGGATAGTGTATGTGTAAAAATAAACAGTTTTCAAGCTGTCATCCTTTTTAGTTTTTTAACAACCATTTGTGACTTTCTTATTGACTTCCCCTTGTATTTTTGGTTAATGCAGTCATGTAATGATGAAAACATTTGCGCAGTTGTGAAAACAGCCAATAGCATTAACTGTGCATCTCGTAAACAGGTCACCATAGACAAGTCGAAATAGTGACATTAATGGGGAACCGGACCCAACCAGAAGTGTCGGTTTTGTGGGTTCTTGGGGTGAAAGGGTTACATTTGTTTGTTGACAAACTTTAGACATTTGCCTTCCTGTCTGAAGGTCATAGGTCTGCACCAGGGCAGATTTATTGTAATTGATCTTGGCTCCAGGGTCAAATCAACATAAAATGGGTACCAGAAAAGGACATGGGAAGTCAATATTACCACATCACCTGTTGAATGCTTCTGGGTTTATAAAATATGGGTGGAACTATACGCCCAGTGGACTAGTGATGTCTTCTTCTTCTTTGCGTTCACCAGCTGTAAACTCTGCTGGAAAGTTCTGGTTGCTCGTCCGCTACTGAACTGCAGTCCTGCTCCAGAACCTGAGTTTTGCGAGTGCATCAGTTTTACAGATCTCATTCTCTTGAATACAGACTGTTGGTTCCTTGCCTCTCTGGCAGATGCACTCCGGCTTCAAAGGAAGCTCCCCAATTAGTCGACTCTTACGACATGCTTTTGGGGAGGCAGTGGGTCTATTCTTGTTTTCCCCACAATGGGGCCCCAGAACCCACACGGGAGGCAGTGGGTCTATTCTTGTTTTCCCCACAATGGGGCCCCGGAACCCACACAGGGGACTAGTGATGTGAAGAGGGCGCTTAATTTTGTTTTGATTGTTTTTCACATATTCTTATTTGGCTTTGCACCGCTGAAAATCATGTTTTATACCAGACTGTCTCTTTGTGTTCAATTGACATTTCTATTCCTAAGGGAGATGAACATATGTACTGTCTAATGGACAAGACACGTAATGATGATGTACCATTTGAGTCGAGTAATTCTGGCATGCCAGATTGTCTGTTCTTGTGCAGCTGAAAATTTGAAGTGGCCTGTAAGCCAGTATATTTCTGTATAACTATTCTATTCAGCATAAAGGTCCTTGAGGTTCATTGCTGCAGATGTCACCCACCTCCATTCTTCTCTTTGATTAACCTTCTCCTTCCAGGTGTTGTCTGGATATTATCTCTTCACCGTCTTCTTGGTCTGCCATGTGGTCTACTACCATTGATCTCCCTTGTGTACACAGTATTTGCCCCTGTCATCTGCCGTTGTCTCTATATGTCCCAGCCATTTCCGTCTAATAGCCCTTGTGATGCCAGTTATAATTGGTGATTTCAACAAATTACAAATTTCATTGTTGCTTCTCACTTTCCATTCCCCATTGTTTCCATCTTTCTTTGGTCCAGATATTCGCCCTAAATCACTTCTAATAAATTTGTAATAACGCTAAATCTCTTTTAGCTGTGGCCCATGTTTCAGAGCCATTCAAGACAACTGGTCTTATCAGTGGTTTGTGAATTGTGATCTTGGTATTATGAGATAGAGCACTTTATTGTACCATATGTTAGATTAACATTACATTATAATTACGATTGCCATTGTTTGACTGGACTACAGCACTAACCACTGTTAGCCTGGCTCATGAACATTTACTGTCTTATTACAACCAGATGACCCCGAGTTTTGGCAAGAGTCTAAAGAAGATACTAGTGTCCGTAAACCTGTGATCTTCTTCAAGGTGAGCTCAATGAAGCCGCGGCAGCCGGATATGTTTGCCTGCTATGTGGATGTCCACAACACTTCCTTATTACAGGTAAGGAGATTGATGTCATACCTGCCATGTACCTTTTTTATATCTTTTTCTACCTGGCATCTTTAACGTAGTTAGCTAAACTGGATTGCGCGGTGACCGGGTGATGAACTCCTTGTGGTCTGGGTTCACTTCAGGGGGTAGGCAGAAAAGCCACGTTTCTCCCAGATTTACTGTATTTACAATGGAATCAAGGCTGAAAGGTTGCGATATCCATAAAACCGAGCCTAAGGGTTAACAACTCATGGCTTCTGGATACTAAAACAAACAAACAAACATATCTTTTTCTGATTTCACCCTTGAAAGGGCAGTTGACGTGTTTTGTTGTGGTTTACAGCTTGGCTACGGTATCTGCGACTTTTAGTCAGATGCATCCGATTTCATCAGACCCTTAATTAATAATCTTCTACGACGAGCTTGCAATGGTCTGGTCTGTTTTCTCAGAAAATGGAGCCCCATAAACCTACATGGTAGTTTCCTTATATAAGCTATGCAGTCTTTTTTTTCTTCGCGTTCCCGGCTGTACATGCCAGCGAAAAGTTCTGTTATTTGTCCACTTCTGGGGTCTTGACCTGTTCCAAAACCCAAGTGTTGTGTGCACATCCATTTCACAGATCTGACTCATTTCTATGCAGACAGTTGGTTCCTTGCCTCTCAGACAGATGCACTGGGACTTTGAAGGAAGCTCCCAAAAAGTCGACTCTTACAATATGCTCTTGGACAAGCAGTGGGTCTATTCTTGTTTTCACCATAATGGGGCCCCGGAACTCGCACAGAGAAGTTATGCAATGACTGTTAGACATTGTACTTGTAGAGAGTTGATTCTTTTAGTCATCAACAAGGCACCATGTATACTGGATATTACTCATGTGCACCAGTCAGCATATTTTGTATATATTTATCAATCTCAAGTTTAGTCAGGCACACTAAATCAATCCAGCAGCACAAGTCACCAACAGTGTACCCTGTGTTTGGACCCTGTGTGTGTAGTATGCGTATACTGTACCCTGTGCTTGGACCCTGTGGGTGTGGTATGCATATACTGTACCCTGTATTTAGACCCTGTGGGTGTAGTACACGAATACTGTACCCTGTATTTGGACCCTGTGGGTGTAGTATGCATATACTGTACCCTGTATTTGGACCCTGTGGGTGTAGTATGCATATACTGTACCCTGTATTTGGACCCTGTGGGTGTAGTATGCTTATACTGTACCCTGTATTTGGACCCTGTGGGTGTAGTATGCGTATACTGTACCCTGTATTTGGACCCTGTGGGTGTAGTATGCATATACTGTACCCTGTATTTGGACCCTGTGGGTGTAGTATGCTTATACTGTACCCTGTATTTGGACCCTGTGAGTGTAGTATGCTTATACTGTACCCTGTATTTAGACCCTGTGGGTGTTGTATGCATATACTGTACCCTGTATTTGGACCCTGTGGGTGTAGTATGCGTATACTGTACCCTGTATTTAGACCCTGTGGGTGTAGTATGCTTATACTGTACCCTGTATTTAGACCCTGTGGGTGTAGTATGCGTATACTGTACCCTGTATTTAGACCCTGTGGGTGTAGTATGCGTATACTGTACCCTGTATTTAGACCTTGTGGGTGTAGTATGCGTGTACTGTACCCTGTATTTAGTCCCTGTGGGTGTAGTATGCGTATACTGTACCCTGTATTTGGACCCTGTGGGTGTAGTATGCGTATACTGTAAACTGTATTTGGACCCTGTGGATGTAGTATGCGTATACTGTACCCTGTATTTGGACCCTGTGGATGTAGTATACGTATAATTTTACTTTAACCCAAAATCAGCAATGATCTTCTTGGAGCAGAAATAACAAAAGCTAGAAGGGGGTTTAAGACAGGTGTGCTACGGGCAGTTTGGCAAGCATCACTTGGTAAGTAGGTCGGTAGGTAGTTGTACCCCACCTGGACATCACACAAGTGATAAACACCCATGGAGATGTCCCAAAAAACCCCTTTCAGCTGTTAGGCCATATCTATGGCTAGGCCATATCTATGCCCCAGCTATATTCAGGGCCCCAGGCAGAAGCCAGGGTGGGGCTTCAAATAACACAAAATTGTATCCCATGTAGGGATGACAAACAGTTTTTAATTAGGTCCCAGGTGAGGCAGCCTCTCTGGTATAGGTGTGCACCAAGTGATGGTAAATCGATGCATGACAAACTGGATCATCTCAGGGTCCTTTGGGAGTCAAAGAATGGTGCAGCAAAGAGTGACAAAGGGATCTTTTCAACACTGAACGCTTGAGGGAGAGGCTAAACAGAAACACAGTCAGAACACACTACTGTACCAGAACTCTGCGCTGGCTGCTGAAGATGAGGATGGGGTGCTTCAGGGTATGTCCCGAGTATTATGATTTCAGTTCTTATTTTAACTGAACAGAAGAATTTGTAACATCATTGTGCAGTGGCTCTGTTCTTTGTTTTCCAAAATGGAGCAGCGGACTTCTCATGGGGAAAGCAAGGAACAAAATATACATGTTTTCACCATTCTCTGCACAGGTAGGTTCGGATCACAGCTACGTGCCTCTGAGTGCTAGCAAGTACTTGTCCTATCATGACGCTGTGTATGGGCAGAGCATCATGTGTCCTGGCTTGAACAAAACGGTGGTCAGTCTGGAGCATCTGATTCTACCTTTCTTGAGCAAGAGGTCAGTTAGTCTGTATTTCTTACATTGGGCCCCTCCCCAGTGGCCAGTTTGAGTTTCTGGGTTAAATACTCATTTGTTGGTGTATAAGATGCAATTGTTAAAGAAAACCTGATAATTATAGTATAACTTGAATGTTATTTCACTGGAACTTAATAGGCAGCGGAGATCAGGGGAAGCCTAAAGACACATGGAGAAGAGAATAAGAAATGAAGAAAATTGGACGCAAATTTTTTTACCAAACAAACAAACAAAGCCAAAGTTAATAAAAGTTTATAAAAAGATGATGAGGTCATTGGATGAGATACATGCAATAGCAAAGGATACGCTGACTTGGCATGAGTTAGTTGAGACTCCACTGGGAAATAAAGGTATGAGGAGACTGTCTTATCTTAAAGCTTCCTGTCTAGGCTAACCAGATTTATGTAATATCATCCCACAGAAACGATGGATTTGCCTTTACAGAACTGATCCCCTCCATGTTGCTGGCAGGACCACGAGGCTGTGGCAAGCGCACCGTCGTCAACACAGTAGCCAGGAGACTCTACATGCACCTAATGGAGGTCGGTTGGTGTTGTCAGTTGCCGTGTTATTCTTGCATTTCACAAGGATTTTTTCTTTTAGTGTTTACTGGCTATAAACTCCAGCTTAAAGTTCTGGTTGTTTGTCCCCTTCTGCACTTTGATCTTGTTCCATAACTTGAGTTTTGTGTGCACATCTGTTTTACAGGTCTGGCTTATTTGTTCTGATTTGTTTTTGTTTTTTTTAACCTCTCAGGCAGAACTCTGACTTTAAGGAAAACATCCCTAATTAGTTGTTTCCTACAACAAGATTGTTGGGGGGGGGGGGGGGAGCAGTGATTCTACTTTTGCCCACAATGGGGCCTCGGAACTGCATTTGTAAAAATTGGTCCCCTATTTTTTAAAATAAAATTCAGGTTAATGAAAATGTCCCCTTTCTTGAACGAATGTCTTTTTCTTCTTCTTCTTCTTCTTCTTCTTCTTCTTCTTCTTCTTCTTCTTCTTCTTCTTCTTCTTCTTCTTCTTTCTTCTTCTTCTTCTTCTTCGTTCTTCTTCTTCTTTCTTTTCTTTCTTCTTCTTCTTCTTCTTCTTCTTCTTCTTCTTCTTTCTTCTTCTTCTTCTTCTTCTTCTTCTTCTTCTTCTTCTTCTTCTTCTTCTTCTTCTTCTTCTTCTTCTCTTCTTCTTCTTCTTCTTCTTCTTCTTCTTCTTCTTTCTTCTTCTTCTTCTTCTTCTTCTTCTTCTTCTTGCTTCTTCTTCTCTTCATTCTTCTTCTTCTTTCTTCTTCTTCTTCTTCTTCTTCTTCTTCTTCTTCTTCTTCTTCTTCTTCTTCTTCTTCTTCTTCTTCTTCTTCTTCTTCTTCTTCTCTTCTTCTTCTTCTTCTTCTTCTTCTTCTTCTTCTTCTTCTTCTCCTCTTCTTCTTCTTCTTCTTCTCGTCTCCTCCTCCTCCTCCTCCTCCTCCTCCTCCTCCTCCTCCTCCTTCCTCCTCCTCCTCCTCCTCCTCCTCCTCCTCCTCCTCCTCCTCCTCCTCCTCCTCCTCCTCCTCCTCCCTCCTCCTCCTCCTCCTCCTCCTCCTCCTCCTCCTCCTCCTCCTCCTCCTCCTCCTCCTCCTCCTCCTCCTCCTCCTCCTCCTCCTCCTCCTCCTCCTCCTCCTCCTCCTCCTCCTCCTCCTCCTCCTCCTCCTCCTCCTCCTCCTTCTTCTTCTTCTTCTTCTTCTTCTTCTTCTTCTTCTTCTTCTTCTTCTTCTTCTTCTTAATGTTCACTAGCTATAAAATCTGGTTCTGGTTGTTCATCCACTTCTGGACTTTATTCTTGTTCCAGAACCTGAGGCTTGCATGCACATCTGTTTTACAGATCTACCTTATTTGTATGCAGAGTGTTAGTTCCTCGTCTCAGACTTGGAAGGAACATCTTTTATCAGTCAACTTTTATGACGTAGTTGTTGGGGAGCGTTGAGCTTGTTCTTTTTTTTTTTTTCTTTTCTTTTTTTCTTTCCTTCCAAAATGGGGCCGCAGAATTCACACAGCTAGAATGGGATTCGAATGCAAGATAACTGAACTAGCAGGCAATATTTTCATCATCGACACAATATCGATTATCTCAAGGTCATTAATCCATGATTTCTGACCACTTCCAGGTCAACTGCCATGACCTCATGGGCGACACATCTGCTGTATCAGAGTCTCGCATCAAGAATCTGTTTCTGTCAGGTGGGTATGTCAGTGGCACTGTCATTGTTGCTTGGTCCATGGTTACTTATCATCGTCGTCGTGATAATTGCAAACATGCATAAGCTTTCTTGTCTCTCCATGAATCTCTATCTTTCGCTCTGGATCAGTTCTGTTGATCCCCCTTGTGGGTTCCGGGGCCCTATTATAGGAAAACAAGAATAGACCCACTGCCTACCCAAAAGCATGTCGTAAAAGTCGACTAATTGGGAGCTTCCTTCGAAGTCAGAGTGCATCTGCCTGGGAGGCAAGGAACCAACAGTCTGCACACAAATATGTCAGATCTGACAAACTGATTCACACGCAACACTGAGGTTCTGAAACAGGACTGCAGTCCAGAAGTGGGCGAACAACCAGAACTTTCCACCAGAGTTTACAGCTGGTGAACGCAAAGAAGAAGAAGAATTCTGTTGATAATATTCTGCCATGCCACTTTCAATTTTATAAGTCTGACTTTTCTACAACTGATCCTTTCAGTTGTCACAGTGTTTTCCAGTGCCTGTTCTGTCATAATGTGATGAGAGAACTCTTTCTTATCATTGCATTTAATCTTGTCCTATTATTAGCTTTTCCATACAGTTGTTTTAGTTACAGAACACTGTATGTGTTTATGCCAGGTATTCCTGATTAACTATCCTCTGTGGACAGATATTATAGACGTATGATGAGAGTTTAGTTTAGTTAGTCGAGGTTTCAACATCACTGCAATCGGGTTCCCCATACTTGCTCCGTTTCTGTGCCAATGCAAATCAAATGAAATGTCCCTCACTTGCAAGAAAAACTGGTGACTAAACAACTACTTCCAGAACAATCCAGAAATATGTGCACGCAGTAAATGCGTATTTCAGATGCTCGAGGCAGCAAAGCCAACAATCGCCACCAGAAATGCAGTTTGGAAGTAGTTACTATACACACACGTAGAATTCTTACATAAGGTATTTCACCATCTCACACAAAAACCGGCCTCCGGCCATATTGAGAAAACAACAAAACAGCTGCGCAAATGAAAAACATTCCATATGAAAAACAGCTCAAAGGGCTGCAGCCAAGCACTAAACTCAGTAGCTCAGACAGCAAAACCGTAGACTACCGTCCTTATGTGGAAACTGCATTAGCAAAGCGCTGTCAGAAGCAAAAATAACTTTGAAGCTTAACATTCTGCCAAGCCTTTCCTCCATTTTGGCTGGAAGTGAATGATGAGAACACCCTGGATAGAAAAAATGATTAATGAAGACATCTTGAAAAATAACTGATTCTTCGTCTCTAGACCTGTTCGGCCTTTCAGCGTCAGGAGAACTGATTAGCCACATCAAAAGGAGACAATTTACGGGAGAAGACTGGAATACATCTCGACAGTGGGAAAGTTAGAGGATTAAAGAGGCAGAGGGTGATAGAGAGAAATACTGGACAGTTTGACATCATAGCATGTGTCAGAATTCATTCAAAGTGCATGAGACAAAAGGTTGTGAACAGACATGATTTCCAAATCCATGCGTCATGGGCTATAAGAATAAGGTTTTGTCATTTGAAGTGTAACTTCAGTACTGCCTGGCTGGCTTGATTTCTTTCCAGTTTCCATCTTTCAAGGGATTTTTACTCCTTAAAACAGTGCCTTTTTTTTTTTTTTTTTGCTATTTGTCTGCTGCTGCTGCAAAATTATGTGTGAATGAAAGAAGGGAGAAAGAATAAGAGGAGGTCAGTGAAAGAGAATCATTTATTAATGAAAGTGTTTTGTATTTTGTAGCCAACAAATACAGTCCCTGTGTGCTGTTGATGAGAAATATTGAAGTCATCGGAAAGGAGAGAGACGGGAAAACTGAGGGTATGTGTGTATTTTTGTTTTAATGTCTCAGTTATTTAATCAGAGAAGTGTTGGTGAGGAGGCTCTTCTCCTGACTTGGTACTAGAATATCATCATCACCACAGGGATTGTGTTGCAGAGCTCTCCTTCCCATCTCCAAGCTCAGAAAAAAGCAAGACTGGTACTTCTTCTTCTTCTTTGCGTTTGGTTTTGTATGCTCAGATCAGACCACCAGGTAGGTTGCCTCTATGAACTCGCATGTCAGCTGCAGGTCCTGCATGGTTCCCCATAGCTTGCTCTGCATACTTTGCGCTTGAGGCCAGGTGTCTTCTCAAAGTTGTAGGTAGAGTGGGCAGGTCTGCAAAATATACTCAGGTGTTTTGGGTCCTGATTGACAGGCACACTGGGGGGACTGTACAATCTTTATTTTATGCATGTGGTAGTTGAGCTCGCAATGTCCTGTTTGTAGATGGAAAATTGTTGCTTTCTGTTGACTGGTACAAGAACTTCATATCTGTAATAAGGCATATTAGGACATCCTTGGGTTATTATTCTTCTTCTTCAGGTTCACCGGCTGTGAGCTCCAGCAGAAAGTCTTCGTTGTAGTCCACTTCTGGACTTTTGTCTTGTTCCAGGACTTGTGTGTTGTGTGCACATCCATTTCACAGATCTGGCTTATTTGTGTGCAAACTGTTGGTTCCTCATCACTCGGGCAGATGCACTCTGATTTTGAAGGAAACAGTCCCATCTACGCTGGTCAGCCCTCTGGTTGGGAACCTGTTTCTATGATGACCCTGAAGACGTGGGGACAGGTATCGAACAGAAGGAAACTGTTTCTATGATGACCCTGAAGACGTAGGGACAGGTATCGAACAGAAGGAAACTGTTTCTATGATGACCCTGAAGACGTAGGGACAGGTATCGAACAGAAGGAAACTGTTTCTATGATGACCCTGAAGACGTAGGGACAGGTATCGAACAGAAGGAAAAACTGTTTCTATGATGACCCTGAAGACGTAGGGACAGGTATCGAACAGAAGGAAACTGTTTCTATGATGACCCTGAAGACGTAGGGACAGGTATCGAACAGAAGGAAACTGTTTCTATGATGACCCTGAAGACGTGGGGACAGGTATCGAACAGAAGGAAACTGTTTCTATGATGACCCTGAAGACGTGGGGACAGGTATCGAACAGAAGGAAACTGTTTCTATGATGACCCTGAAGACGTGGGGACAGGTATCGAACAGAAGGAAACTGTTTCTATGATGACCCTGAAGACGTGGGGACAGGTATCGAACAGAAGGAAACTGTTTCTATGATGACCCTGAAGATGTAGGGACAGGTATCGAACAGAAGGAACCTGTTTCTATGATGACCCTGAAGACGTGGGGACAGGTATCGAACAGAAGGAACCTGTTTCTATGATGACCCTGAAGACGTGGGGACAGGTATCGAACAGAAGGAAACTGTTTCTATGATGACCCTGAAGACATAGGGACAGGTATCGAACAGAAGGAACCTGTTTCTATGATGACCCTGAAGACGTAGGGACAGGTATCGAACAGAAGGAACCTGTTTCTATGATGACCCTGAAGACGTGGGGACAGGTATCGAACAGAAGGAAACTGTTTCTATGATGACCCTGAAGACGTAGGGACAGGTATCGAACAGAAGGAAACTGTTTCTATGATGACCCTGAAGACGTGGGGACAGGTATCGAACAGAAGGAACCTGTTTCTATGATGACCCTGAAGACGTAGGGACAGGTATCGAACAGAAGGAAACTGTTTCTATGATGACCCTGAAGACGTGGGGACAGGTATCGAACAGAATCAACCCAACTACAGGTGTAGTTCACTCCCTCTACATCCTCACTGGGCTCTTCTTCTTCTTCACATTCAGCGGCTGTAAACTCCAATACAGTTCTTGTTGTTTGTCCACATCTGGATTTTAGACCTCCGTTCCAGAACTTGACTGTTGCATGCACATCTGTTTTACAGATCCAACTTATTTGTATCCAGAATGGTGGTTCCTTGACTTTCAGTCAGATGGACTGTGACTTCGAAAGAAGCCCTCCCAGTTAGTCAACTCTTACAACACCCTTCTTTTTTTGTGGGGGGGGGGGGGCAGTGGATCTTTTCTTGTCTTCTCCACAACTGGGCCCCAGAACCCACCCGGGGAAACCAGATTATGATTCAGTAGAGCCCATTCAGAATGGCTGGGTTTGGATCTTGGTTGGTCTTGAATCTTCCATGGGTTCTAGGTAATTTATTGTCATCTGAGAGCAACAACAAAATCAATTCATCATCTGTTTAGATCAACACATATTTGGGGCATCATGAGGGCTAATAGACTACAGTGATTGGGCCATATAGAAGGATTGGCAGATAACACAGAGACAAAAACTGTATGCACAAAAGAGTTGAATAGCAGAATACCACAAGATAGAGCCAGAAGGCGGAGGAGACAGATATATATTTACAGGCAGGTGAATGGAAGTGGGTGATATCTGCAGCAGTGAACCTCAAGAACTTGGAATGTTGAAGAAGTAGATTGTCATTGGACACCAGTCTGGTGTGAAACAAGGAAGTCTCTTATCCTGGTGACTGAAAAGTACTCTAGAGCCTGACAATCTGGTGCAGAACTATATGGGCGATGGAACGATATAGTTGAAGTCCAAATATGGGGGCAAATGCAATGACTTACTGTTGTTAGAAGTGACTAACTTGCCATGATTAAAACAGTAAGCCTACCTATCTACCGTATTGGAATCGTCGAGTTGTGTATACACAGATGGTTTATGTTTTGTTTGCAGGCATAACTGTATGGCACAGAGACATGGACAATGAACAAACAACTGGAAAATCGTATCAATTCTTTGGAGATGTGGATATACAGAAGATTGGGTCGTATTTCATGGAAACAAAAGCTATCAAATACAGAGGTACTGAGGAAATTGGGAATGAAAAGAGAGTTGCTAGGGGAAATAAAAAAGAGACAAGTGAAATATGTTGGTCACATTAAAAGACATAACAGTATTGTAAAGATCATCCTAGAGGGAAAGGTTCAAGGTAGGCGAGCAAGAGGCAGACAGCGTTACAAGTGGGAGGACAACATCAAGAGATGGACGAACAGCAGTATGAGTGAGTGTACATCAAGGGCAAGGGACAGGGCTTGTTGGAGATCCATTGCAGCCAACCTTCATTGTGGAGAGGGCACCTGATTGATTGATTGATAACTGACTTGTCTTTGTTGATTATTGTAGATCCCCGGACAGTTGCAGTCTTCAGCAGGTGTGTGCACCAGTTAGCTTCCCAGCCACAGGCATTCCCTGTTATAGTTGTGGCTACCACCAGCTCACCCAGCAACGTGTCTGATGATATGCTGCCTTGCTTCTTACACGAAGTCACCATAGAGGTAAGGCTGATGCTCTTGTGTGTTTGGTGCTGGTGGGTGAGCTTTAAATCATGTGTCTTGTCTATGTTTGGTGCTGGTGGGTGGGTTTTAAATCATGTGTCTTGTCTGTGTTTGGTGCTGGTGGGTGGGTTTTAAATCATGTGTCTTGTCTGTGTTTGGTGCTGGTGGGTAGGCTTTAGATCATGTGTCTTGTCTGTGGTTGGTGCTGGTGGGTAGGCTTTAGATCATGTGTCTTGTCTGTGGTTGGTGCTGGTGGGTGGGCTTTAGATCATGTGTCTTGTCTATGTTAGGTGCTGGTGGGTGGGCTTTAGATCATGTGTCTTGTCTGTGTTTGGTGCTGGTGGGTAGGCTTTAGATCATGTGTCTTGTCTATGTTTGGCGCTGGTGGGTGGGTTTTAGATCATGTGTCTTGTCTGTGTTTGGTGCTGGTGGATGAGCTTTAGATCATGTGTCTTGTTTGTTTTAGGTGCTGGTGGGTGAGCTTTAGATCATGTGTCTTGTCTGTGTGGAACTCTTGAAGCCGTATAAATATTATAAATATTATTAACAAAGAGACAGTGTATTGATTGGCACTCATAGAAAGAAGTAGAAAGACAGAAAAACACACTATACAAAAATCGAAAGCTATAGTTACCATGCCGGGAATTGACCTGTCACCTCCAAATCGTGTGCGCCTCGCTGTGGAAAAAAGCGTACTAAGATGAAACTGTCATCGTGAGAGAATTAATGAGAATTTTCCTAGGACCCACATCAATTACCACCTGATGTTTCCCAGAGGATTTTCATCCAAAATTGAGGTGGAACGTTAGAACTGCACAAACCACAAGAATCTTCCCCAGGCCTTCCAGTCATCACCTACAAACAGCATGGCAGTGTTCTGGAGTTTGTCCTACCACAAGGAACAAGGAATCTGTCATTGGATTTTCGGCAGCTAGGGAAGGAAACAATCACAAAATGTACAGTCTCTAATTCTCTGCAGAATAAAATATAAATTCCCAACTCTCCCCTCTCTCTTCATATTGTCAGAAGTGGGATAATGTTCTCGGAGCTGGTCATTTACATAGCTTCCACTTCTGACTACCGTCCAGTCCAAATGAATGGTCTCCCATCTTCTGTCCTTCAGGGTGATTGTGTAATACAGGATATGTTCTCCAGCTAGGTCAGTGATGTGCAGTTATAAAGTCAACACACACTCTAACGTAATAAGGGGGCTGCGTGGTCTCGAAGCATGGTGTCGGCCTTGAGTGCTAGAGGTTCCGGGTTCAATCCCCGGTAAGGGCTTGGATTTTTTCCCGTGGACTTGGACTTCTAGTAATTCCCCCTGGTCTCTGGGTAGTGAGATCGGACGCCCGTGTGCATTGTTGCACACGTAAAAAATCCCTTAGCAGTTTGAAATTGAAAAGAGTAGCCTAACGGCGCTGCTCAGGCAAAATTTGGAGTTAAAAATCTACCCAAAGTATTTCAGGATCCTCACCGGTGCTACAGAGCCTGTGCACTGTGCTGAGCTTCTTCAGACTCAGACTTGAGTTAGAAGAAGAACGGAGCACTAATGGGTTACTACCCGTGTGCTATGATGTTCATACATTGTTCAAACGTTATTCAACGTAATGCTGTTGTAATGATGCTATAAATAGGGATAACGTCAGGGGATGACTGGCATAATTGGGTAAGTCCCTGAGAGCATGGGTTTCACGGAGATATGGTGAAACGACAAGAGAGAGTGAGTCACGTGTGAATGCGAGATCTGGGGGATTGAGAATGAGGTGGGCATTCGGTGACTGGGGCCCAGACTGGAAGGATGTGAAGCTGAATCTGTGAAGGTGAATCCAGAATGAAGAGTGCACGTGGATCTGAATCAGAGTCGAATGAATGATCGTGAAGGCCAACCGTTGTGTTACACGGTTTGATTGTTGAGCCAGCCGTGTATATGCCAGTGTCCATCGTCTGAAGCATGTCTGGAGCCTTAATGCGTGAGCAAGGCGAGATTGCCCGAATGGTGTAAGTTGGTTCATCTGTTGATTCGTGTCTTGTGCTACAGTGATAATAAACCTGTGAAATGTGTCAGCTGATGTCGACAGTCGTTTGAAGTGGTGTGGCCGTGGAGAGAAATGTCGTCTGGTTAGAATGAGCTGTGACCTAACACCTAGACAACAGAGTCAGTGTTGAATCTGCACTAGAGAGATCAAGTGTGGAGGAGACACAAGTACATTCATTACAGCTGTAGAATTATTTCCCAAAATAGACATGATTCTAGATCAAAACGGCAGCTTTTCCTATCTTCCAGAGACTCCATTGTGTGGTAATTTCTAGTTGTAACCAGTTTTTAGTTTTTTGTGGCGTTGATAAACAGCTTCCCTGTATGTATTTTTCTTAGACAGTACATCATCAAACATCACAGCATTTATTAAAGCTGTTCTTAAGTAAAATAATGTCATAAGTATCTATCCTGAAAACATAAACAAGCATTTACTAAAACACAATTATATAAATATGAATATGAGAAGAAAAATGTCTCCAGTGAGTACACAAACCACGATAAACAGTTTATGTGCCAGCAGTAGAAGAAAGGGAAAACGTGGACTGTATATCATCGCTATGCTAAAAAGTTGAATCAATTTCATATGACCTGTCTCAGAAAGCTGCTCAAAATCAAATGGCAAGATCCCAAATACTGTGGTATACTATAGGGCAAACCTGCCTAGCATCCACACGATACTGACGAATTGTCAGCTGCGTTTTTGGGCTGGTCACCTAACCCGCACCTAACCAGAATATTGCCTCCCAAAGAGAGATTTTATGGCGAGCTCCTGCAGAGGAAGAGGTGCCAGGGAGGACAGAAAAAGCGCTATATGGACACTCTCAAGACTGCTCTCATTTCTTCTGGCATCAACACAGCGACGTGGGAGGCAGCTGCATAAGACTGTTCTGGATGACGTACGTCCCTCAGGCGTGGTGCATCGGCCTATCAGACAGCGGAGTTGTACAGGCAGAGAAACGGAGGCAGACTAGAAAGAATCGTACTGCTAATCCCTCACTTACTGCGGCTTCCATCTGTTGTCCGCACTGCTCAAGAACTTTCCTGGCTCATATTGGACTAATCAGCCGCCTTCGTACTCATACATCATTGATCATTACTACTTGAGATGAAAGTGGTTTTCATCCCTCCTGATGGACGAACAACAGAAGATAGGGAACAGATCCTAAAAATACTAAGATACAGTAAAAGGGAATAACATCCTAGATCCACAAAGATAGGAATAACATCCTAGATCCACAAAGATAGGAATAACATCCTAGATCCACAAAGACAGGAATAACATCCTAGATCCACAAAGACAGGGATAACATACCAGAGATCTAGTTCTAGATCCACGTGTCAGCGGCTGAAATTATTCCTCATGGTCTTTCACCTTTTACAATTCTAAGACAGCAAGCAAATTACAGCTCCGAAAAGGAAATAGCGAGTATGTAATAATTACTGTCCTCGCTTAAAAGACAGAGTTCAAGCTGTTTTGCAATCTGGTCTTATCTCAATCTTTCCTAGCAGCCGTCAGGGAATGGAAGTTTCCCTGTGTACTAGCATGATCTCCCTTTGTAGCTAGATTTAGCCACAACGTTGCTAGGTACCAGTAGCAAATTCTGTATGCGAAAGTAGTTTTGGCATGCTGGAGAATTGCAAATAGACAGATGGGGAATTCCATAATGGCATCCGTATGCACATAGGGGTATCCCTGTGTGTCGCTGAGTATCATGACTTCACTCTTATATGGCACACTAAATGGCATCGTGGAGGGGGAGGGGGGGGGGGACACATGGTGAAAGGGTGGTATGTCATATTCGAAGTATCATTGATCACTTGAAACGGCATCTCATTTTACACCTCATTTCAGAAAAAAATTATAAGATTTGGTCTTAATTGTAAGAAGTATAGATTGTTAAGTTTAATATAGATTAAGTGTACTTTTTCAATAATTGTGATAAATATTTTGTGTAATATATTTTGGGGAATATTTAAAAAGTTAACATATGTAAATTGCATCCCACCAGGCTCCGACAGAACAAGACAGGGCCGATATCATCCACGGTCTGCTGGAAAGTTATGCAGTGTCACCTGATGTATCCATCAGCCATCTTGCTCAGCGTACCGCTGTAAGTATCATTTATCTATCGGTAGTCTTGCTCAGTGTGCGGCTGTAAGTATCATGTATCCATCTGCCATCTTGCTCAGCGTACCGCTGTAAGTATCATTTATCTATCGGTAGTCTTGCTCAGAGTGCGGCTGTAAGTATCATGTATCCATCTGCCATCTTGCTCAGCATACCGCTGTAAGTATAATTTATCTATCAGTAGTCTTGCTCAGAGTGCGGCTGTAAGCATCATGTATCCATCTGCCATCATGCTCAGCGTACCGCTGTAAGTATCATTTATCTATCGGTAGTCTTGCTCAGAGTGCGGCTGTAAGTATCATGTATCCATCTGCCATCTTGCTCAGCGTACCGCTGTAAATATCATTTATCTATCGGTAGTCTTGCTCAGTGTACCGCTGTAAGTATCATGTATCCATCAGTCATCTTGCTCAGTGTACCGCTGTAAGTATCATGTATCCATCGGCCATCTTGCTCAGTGTACCGCTGTAAGTATCATGTATCCATCGGCCATCTTGCTCAGTGTACCGCTGTAAGTATCATGTATCCATCGGCCATCTTGCTCAGTGTACCGCTGTAAGTATCATGTATCCATCGGCCATCTTGCTCAGCGTACCGCTGTAAGTATCATGTATCCATCGGCCATCTTGCTCAGTGTACCGCTGTAAGTATCATGTATCTATCAGCCATCTTGCTCAGCGTACCGCTGTAAGTATAATTTATCTATCGGTAGTCTTGCTCAGAGTGCGGCTGTAAGTATCATGTATCCATCTGCCATCTTGCTCAGCGTACCGCTGTAAGTATCATTTATCTATCGGTAGTCTTGCTCAGAGTGCGGCTGTAAGTATCATGTATCCATCTGCCATCTTGCTCAGCGTACCGCTGTAAGTATCATTTATCTATCGGTAGTCTTGCTCAGAGTGCGGCTGTAAGTATCATGTATCCATCTGCCATCATGCTCAGCGTACCGCTGTAAGTATCATTTATCTATCGGTAGTCTTGCTCAGAGTGCGGCTGTAAGTATCATGTATCCATCTGCCATCTTGCTCAGTGTACCGCTGTAAGTATCATGTATCCATCGGCCATCTTGCTCAGTGTACCGCTGTAAGTATCATGTATCCATCGGCCATCTTGCTCAGTGTACCGCTGTAAGTATCATGTTTCCATCGGCCATCTTGCTCAGCGTACCGCTGTAAGTATCATGTATCCATCGGCCATCTTGCTCAGTGTACCACTGTAAGTATCATGTATCCATCGGCCATCTTGCTCAGCATACCGCTGTAAGTATCATGTATCTATCAGCCATCTTACTCAGTGTACCGCTGTAAGTATCATTTCTTTTTTTAATACAGACATCCATATGTGGGTTTTTTGCCCTTCCTGTTGTGAGGAAGAAAAGAAAGAATAGATTCACCGCTTCATAATAAGCAAGCTGTAAAAGGCGATTAGTTAGTGTTTTGCAGAAATCAGATATGTTGGCCTGAAAGGTACAGATATGGCATCCTAGCTGTATTGCAGGACAACATGCCAGCCACCCTTATAAGGGAAAATGCCAAGGAAGGAGCTTATTTTTAGATGTTTCTCAATTCTTTCAACATTTTATAAGGAAAAACACACTTGAAAAGTGAGTAACTGGTGAATCACTAGAGATACAGAGTTCGTGTTTTGTGTGATGCTCTTGGCAAGCAGCCGGCACCTGTGCAGAGGGAGACCAATCCATGGAGGATCGAACTTGCTGTAGTTAAGTCCATCCTCTCATCTTTAACACTTTTGTACAGGACTAAGGATTAAGTACCCACAAATATAGGCCATGTAAGTGAAGTTTTCAAGCCTCAAGAAGTTTTTCCAAAACTAGCGAATCACTTATGTGGTAGGTATCAAATGCAGATCTTTTACCCTTCAACTCTTTCGGTCCTATAAAGTTTGGTACAAAAATTATAGTTTTCGTTAAATATTGCCACGAAAATTCTAACCACTTGATGTGTTATAGGAATGAACAGTTATCAATAGATGCCACTATGATTGCTAGATTTATTTGTCTTTTTTTTTTTCACCCAGGGTTTTGTGCTGAGTGATTTGACAGCTCTAGTGATCCAAGCCAAGAGACAAGCTTACCACAAGGCTCTCAAAATATGGTTAGTCTTCTGCTTATAAGTAAAGTAAAGGTCCCTTTTCCCATGCCTTTATGCATATAGGGCATATAGGGCTAGACCTATATTTTTATAGACCGATCGGCACAAGATGGGTGATGTGGTCAGAATCACACCGGCCATTTTACTTCCCTGGACTGCACCCGGTACCCACTAAAGGCTGGGTCAACCTGGGAGTCAAGGTCATTTTTGATTCTGCTTATGAAACACTGTTATGTGCTAACTCATTTTAATATTAATTGATCACCAATTCATCGCTGTTATGTGTTCATCCATTAATAATCAAGACAGGTTCCACTATAAGAGCGTACTTGGAGCAATATATTACACTTGGGGTGATATATTACACTTGGGGTGATAAGTTACACTTGGAGTGATATGTTACACTTGGAGTGATATGTTACACTTGGAGTGATTTGTTACACTTGGGGTGATATGTTACACTTGGGATGATATGTTACACTTGGGGTGATATGTTACACTTGGGATGATATGTTACACTTGGGATGATATGTTACACTTGGGGTGATATGTTACACTTGGAGTGATATGTTACACTTGGAGTGATATGTTACACTTGGGATGATATGTTACACTTGGGGTGATATGTTACACTTGGGGTGATATGTTACACTTGGGGTGATATGTTACACTTGGGGTGATATGTTACACTTGGGGTGATATGTTACACTTGGGATGATATGTTACACTTGGGGTGATATGTTACACTTGGGGTGATATGTTACACTTGGGATGATATGTTACACTTGGGGTGATATGTTACACTTGGGGTGATATGTTACACTTGGGGTGATATGTTACACTTGGGGTGATATGTTACACTTGGGGTGATATGTTACACTTGGAGTGATATGTTACACTTGGAGTGATATGTTACACTTGGAGTGATATCTTACACTTGGAGTGATATCTTACACTTGGAGTGATATCTTACACTTGGAGTGATATGTTACACTTGGAGTGATATGTTACACTTGGGATGATATGTTACACTTGGAGTGATATGTTACACTTGGAGGGATATGTTACACTTGGGATGATATGTTACACTTGGGGTGATATGTTACACTTGGGGTGATATGTTACACTTGGAGTGATATGTTACACTTGGAGTGATATGTTACACTTGGGGTGATATGTTACACTTGGGATGATATGTTACACTTGGGGTGATATGTTACACTTGGGATGATATGTTACACTTGGGGTGATGTGTTACACTTGGGGTGATATGTTGGAGTGATATATTACACTTGGGGTGATATGTTACACTTGGGATGATATGTTACACTTGGGATGATATGTTACACTTAGGGTGATATATTGGAGTGATATATTACACTTGGAGTGATATGTTGGAGTGATATATTACACTTGGAGTGATATATTACACTTGGAGTGATATGTTGGAGTGATATGTTGGAGTGATATATTACACTTGAAGTGATATGTTGGAGTGATATATTACACTTGAAGTGATATATTACACTTGGAGTGATATATTGGAGTGATATGTTGGAGTGATATATTACACTTGGAGTGATATGTTGGAGTGATATATTACACTTAGAGTGATATGTTGGAGTGATATGTTGGAGTGATATATTACACTTGGAGTGATATATTACACTTTGGGTGATATGTTACACTTGGGATGATATGTTACACTTGGGGTGATATATTGGAGTGATATGTTACACTTGGGGTGATATGTTGGAGTGATATATTACACTTGGGGTGATATATTGAAGTGATATATTACACTTGGGGTGATATATTGGAGTGATATGTTACACTTGGGGTGATATATTGGAGTGATATGTTACACTTGAGGTGATATATTGGAGTGATATGTTACACTTGAGGTGATATATTGGAGTGATATATTACACTTGGGGTGATATATTGGAGTGATATGTTACACTTGAGGTGATATATTGGAGTGATATATTACACTTGGGGTGATATATTGGAGTGATATGTTACACTTGAGGTGATATATTGGAGTGATATATTACACTTGGGGTGATATATTGGAGTGATATGTTACACTTGGGGTGATATATTGAAGTGATATGTTACACTTGGGGTGATATGTTACACTTGGGGTGATATATTGGAGTGATATATTACACTTGGGGTGATATATTGGAGTGAAATGTTACACTTGGGGTGATATATTGGAGTGATATTTTACACTTGGGGTGATATATTAGACTTGGGGTGATATATTGGAGTGATATATTACACTTAGGGTGATATATTACACTTGGGGTGATATGTTACACTTTGGGTGATATATTGGAGTGATATATTACACTTGGGGTGATATATTACACTTGGAGTGATAAATTACACTTGGGGTGATATATTGGAGTGATATATTACACTTGGGGTGATATATTACACTTGGGGTGATATATTGGAGTGATATATTACACTTGGAGTGATATATTACACTTGGTGTGATATATTACACTTGAAGTGATATATTACAGGGTTTTTAGGCAGGGTTCTTGGTTACGATACAACTCGTCACCTGTGACTGGCTTGTTGTGACGTTCCTGTTGTCTTTGAAGTCTTTGCTCTCGGTTCCGAACCAAGCAGTCACTTTCATCTGCGAGAACTCTTGTGTAGTTTAATCGTACCCCATATTAGATAATCTTTTCTGCCACCGTCTTCACTTGAGGACCAGCCAATCTGCACCCAGCTGTCCTTAACAGATCTACAAGGGACAACATCTGTGCATCAGGTGAGGACTTGACTCCACACAAATGAGGCCGTTAAATGTCCTTCAGTGTCCCGTGGAACTAACAGGAAGGCTAACCTGGACAACCAAGACCCGAAGAAGTTGGATGTGTCATTCGAAAGGCGTAAATATTGTTGCTACACTGTAAATAAGCACACAGCGCTTTTACATCACCTTTTACATAGACCTTGAGGAAGTAATGTTAACAAATGAATATGTAAAGATGTCTTTTCACGTCTTTTGATGCATCAGGCATATGGGAAGAGCACCCATATTTTTAGTCCAATCAGCACTAGGTGGGTAATGTCGTCAGCATTATGCCGGCCGTCTTTACTTCCCCAGGAGAGCCATCCTGACCCATTTTAGGCTGGGTTGACCAGTAACGAATGAATATGGGTCCTTTTATGTTAGCAAATGAACATAGGATCTTTTTTAATGATTAAGATGTTAACAAATAAATGCAGGGATGTTCACAGTTATCATTAAAATGTTAACAAATAAACACAAGGAAGTTTGCAATTATAGTTAAAATGTTAGCAAATGAACACAGGATAAAATGTTAATAAATAAACACTTAGATTTTTTCAGTTATCATTAAAATGTTAGCAAATTAGCACAAGATAAAAATGTTAACAAATAGACGCAGTGATTTTTGCAGTTATCATTAAAATGGGTCTTCTCTCATCATGTTGGAGCAGTTGAAGTTTGCACCCAAGTACTTTTATGTTCTGTTCATTCGATTTTCATTTTATCGAGAATCATTAAAATGTTAGCAAGTGAACACCAGAAAAAATTTTGACAAAAAAAACACAGGGATGTTTGCAGTTAACATTAAAATGTTAGCAAATGAACATGAGATGTCTAAGTTGTTGTTTCCAGCCACCCCGACGGCACGGCCCCAAGTCTGCAAGAGGAAGAGGATTTGGTCACAGCTGGAGTTGTCATAGAGCAGACGGACCTGGAGTCGGCCCTGGACTTCATGCAGTCAGCCCACTCAGACAGTATCGGGGCACCAAAGGTACATGGGGGATTCTTGTGTCTGACTTCCAGTCTGATATCTCGAACAGTTATTTCTAAATTTCTTCCATTTGTTTTTAACATCCACAAAAATAATTATTTTATTTCTGTGTTTTTTTTGGTAAATTAAAGTAAGTGAAGGAGACTTTCCCTCACCTTCGGGCGTATTGGGCATATAGGGCTAGACCTGCATTCTATAGACCAATCAGCACTTGATGATTGATGTGGTGAACATCACGTCGGCCACCATTGCTAACCTATACTTTACCTGGTACACATTTAAGGCTGGCTGGATCTGGGAGCCAAGGTAATTTTTATTTAAAATTCAACAGAACCTGAACCTAGAACTGTCAAATCTGCAAGCAAGTGTCTATCATCCAGGGCCCCGAAAGGAAGCGGGGGTAGTCCCACTAACAAGCTTGTCATAGAAGGCGACTGATTAGGGGTGTTTCCTTTTAAGTCAGAGTACATCTGCCTGAGAGGTGAGAAACCAGCAGTCTGCATACAAATAAGCCAGATCTGTAAAATAAATGTGCAAACAAAACTCAAGTCCTGAAACAAAAATTAGGTCCACAAGTGGAGGGACAACCATACATTTTCACCAGAGTTTGCAGCAAGTAAACACAAAGAAGCAGAAGAAAACATTTGTGCTTGCCATATATTTATGGGCAGCCATGATACCATAAGTGAGTACCTCAGGGCTCCGTCTGCCGGCCCACAAGTAAAAGCAAGGTGTTACTGCTTCTCTCCACATCGATGCAAATAACCACATCAGAATCTTATAGCTTGTCTCCCGTCTTGTGTATTTTGTGGACAGATTCCTTCGGTGAAGTGGAGTGATATTGGAGGTCTCGAAGATATCAAGGCTGAGATCCTGGACACTGTCCAGCTTCCCCTGCAGCATCCAGAACTGCTGGCAGCTGGCCTCCGGAGATCAGGTTTGTCTGTCTAGTCAAGCAGTCCAGCCTGATAGCTTTTCCAGTCATAGAGGCAAATGTTGTGTTGTATCTATGATTAGTCTTCACTGTAAATTACTGACTTTGTTGTATTTATGATCTGTTTTCAAATTACCAATTTTTTAAAATTATTATTTATAATTTGTCTTCTCTGTAAATTAAAAATTTTTTTTTTTTTGGTATTTATAGTGTGTCTTCTTTGTAAATTACTAATTGACATATACCACTTGGGGCATGACATATACCATTTGGGGCATGACATATACCATTTGGGGCATGACATATACCATTTGGGGCATGACATATAACATTTGGGGCATGACATATAACACTTAGGGCATGACATATACCACTTGGGGCATGACATATAACACTTGGGGCATGACATATACCACTTGGGGCATGACATATAACACATCGGTAATTGGGGGTCTCTTTTAAACAACATAAGAAAGTTAGTTATTTAGTTAGTTGCGTTTTCTCTGCAGGACGTTGGAGAACCACGACCCGGAGCCGGTCGTGGCATAACCAACCACAGCATTTGGAGGGGGCGGGCTGTTGTGGTTTTTCTTAAGGCAAATTTAACGTTCAGTAGTTTTGTTGCTGACCGGTCAGCTCTCGGTACCACTGTCGAAACCAACGCAGGATAAACCATCCTCAGCTGGGATCTAACCCGGCACCTGGTATTACGAAGCGCGTTCGCAACGCCTAAGCCACAGAGCATAAAGGAGGTACAGAATGCAAATGTTAATATCTACTACCATTGCTTAAACCCGGCTCCCTAGCTCAGTTGGTTTAACCGTACTGCGCGGCGACAGGCTGACGAACTCCTTGTGGTCCGGGTTCACGCCCCGGGGGTAGGTAGAAAAACCAAAGATGTGCGGTGTCTGTCATGGAATCAAGGCCGAATGGTTGCGATATCCATAGTACTGAGCCAAAGGGGTAACAACTAATGGTTTCTGGATAATAATAATAATTTAAAAAAAACACGGCTTTGCTCATACCATTCTACCTGGCTCAGTGCGATGGACCAGGAAATAAGGTCGGGGCAACTGAGCGCTGGTAGGTTTGAGTTAGAGAGAGAGAAAGATAGATGTATGATTTAGTGAACATTTTGTTTTGCTGTGATAGATGTATGATTTAGTGAACATTTTGTTTTGCTGTGATAGATGTATGATTTAGTCAAGGTTTTGTTTTGCCGTGATAGATGTATGATTTAGTCAAGGTTTTGTTTTGCCGTGATAGATGTATGATTTAGTCAAGGTTTTGTCTATGCCTGCAGGTGTTCTCCTGTATGGCCCACCAGGGACAGGGAAGACACTGCTGGCCAAAGCTGTGGCCACCGAGTGCTCCCTTAACTTCCTCAGGTGAGTCTGTGAGCGTCCAGTTGACTCATTTCGTTTCTTCCTCTTTCAGACACCTTGCTTCATTAACTCTTTGAGTCCCAAGGAACACATCATACATTCATTGGTTCCAGCCTAGAAGCCGCTGAACGCAAGGTGTGTCTTTTTTGACAACCCCTTGAGCCTCTGATACTAAACCCCTTGAGCCTCTGATACTAAACCCCTTGAGCCTCTGATACTAAACCCCTTAAGCCTCTGATGCTAAACCCCTGGGACTGAAAGAGTTAAGAAAGTCAGTGAATCCAAATTTATAATCATTATCTTCATCAGTTAATGGCATGCTGCCAGTTTGGATTTGTCAGCATCTTCTTCTGCTTCTTAGCTTTCACCAGCTGGTGACTCCAGCAGAAAGTTTAGGTTGTTCACACACTTCTGGACTTTGGTCTTATTCCAGAATGGGTTTTTTTTTTTTGCAGGCACATCAGTTTTACAGTTTTCTCTTGGCCCGGCTCTCTAGCGTAGTTGGCTAAACCGGATTTCGCAGAGACCGGGTGACGAACTCCTTGTGGTCCGAGTTCACTCCCGGGGGGTAGGCAGAAAAGCCACATTTCTCCCAGATTTACAATGGAATCAAGGCCGAAAGGTTGGGATATCCATAATACTGAGCCTAAGGGTTAACAACTCATGGCTTCTGGATACTAAAACAAACAAACAAACAAACAGTTTTCTCTTATTTTTATGCAGACTATTAGTTCCTTGCCCCGCAGGCAGATGCACTGCAACTTTGAAGAAAACACACCTAATTAGTCGCCTTTTACAACATGCTTGTTGGGGGGGGGGGGCAGTTCTGTTGTTTCCCTAAAATAAAGCCCTGGAACACACACACAGGGAGAATTTCTTAAAATAAGAAAAAGGATCTTAGCCCCCCCCCCCCCCCCCCCCCCCCCCTTATTCAGATAGTGGATCTGACACCTAGCTTACTCGGACAAGGGTAAAAAAACTCATCTGCATGTTGCAAACATAACAGGTCTCTCAGCAGTTAGAAATCTAAAATAGAAAAACTGAATTTGTTTCTTCTTTCATCTTCTGCCTTTTAGCCTCCAACAGAGCATAGGCCCTCAACCAGCACACAACAGCTCGCCTTTTCTTGTGCTGTCTCACATAGCTGACTCCATGACCTCTCTGTCATTATAACCTGACTCTCTAGTTCTTGTGCTGTCTCACATAGCTGACTCCATGACCTCTCTGTCATTATAACCTGACTCTCTAGTTCTTGTGCTGTCTCACATAGCTGACTCCATGACCTCTCTGTCATTATAACCTGACTCTCTAGTTCTTGTGCTGTCTCACATAGCTGACTCCATGACCTCTCTGTCATTATAACCTGACTCTCTAGTTCTTGTGCTGTCTCACATAGCTGACTCCATGACCTCTCTGTCATTATAACCTGACTCTCTAGTTCTTGTGCTGTCTCACATAGCTGACTCCATGACCTCTCTGTCATTATAACCTGACTCTCTAGTTCTTGTGCTGTCTCACATAGCTGACTCCATGACCTCTCTGTCATTATAACCTGACTCTCTAGTTCTTGTGCTGTCTCACATAACTGACTCCATGACCTCTCTGTCATTATAACCTGACTCTCTAGTTCTCTCCTGCATGTTTGTGTGTGTGTGTCTGCTTTTGACACTGTGGGTTCCAGTGCAGGGACATTCTAGTTACACTGTTCTCAGGGCGTCTGAATGTGTGTCTTATTCAACACCACCATCCTTTACTCATCTCTTGAATCACTAGAGTTTGGTTAGTTAATTCTCGATCATTTATATATTTAGACAGTAAAGACAGTTATTTTAGATTACTAAAAAGTTCCCTGTGTGGGTTCCGGGCCCCTGTTATACGGAAAACAAGAATAGACCCGCTGCCCACCTTAAAGCATGTCGTAAGAGTCGACTAATTGGGGGCTTCCTTTAAAGTCGGAATGTATCTCCCTGAGAGGCAAGAAACCAACAGTCTGCACACAAATTAGTCAGATCTGTCAAACGGATGCACACGCAACACTCCGGTTCAGGAACAGGACTGCAGTTCAAAAGTGGACGAACAACCAGAACTTTTCACCAGAGTTTACAGCTGGTGAACGCAAAGAAGCAAAAGAAGATGACTAAATTATAAGTATTTTGTTTGGTTAAAAAAAAATATCTAAATGTTTTTTTTGATGTTCTCAGCGTCAAAGGTCCTGAACTCATCAATATGTATGTAGGCCAGAGTGAGGAAAATGTCAGGGAAGGTAAGTTTTCTATTCATAATAAATCTTATTTTCTTCATTTTCTTTTGCCGTTTCCATTAAAATTTGGTTTGGCACATTGTTTTGTGGATTACAGATAGGCTGTGTGAAATCGACTCATCAAATTTCAGTAAATCCTTAAATTGTCATTTTTTATTATATAGATCTATTCTCTGCCCTCCCCCCCCCCCCCCCCCCCCCCCAACCAACAACAAAAACCGCACCTAAAATAGGGCTCCATAGTCCACACAGGGAATATTTTTTTCTTCGCATTCATTGACTAAATTCTAATGGAAAATTTCAGTTATTCATCCACTTCTGTACACAGCAGAACCTATGTTTTGTGTGCACATCCGTTTTACAGATTTGGTTTATTTGTATGCAGACTGTTCCCCACCTCTCAGACAGTATTAAGTCAGATGTCTCATGATTTCATCAGTATTTAATCAGCTGTCTCAGTGATGTAATCAGTATTTAGTCAGCTGTCTCAGTGATGTAATCAGTATTTATTCAGCTGTCTCAGTGATGTAATCAGTATTTAGTCAGCTGTCTCAGTGATGTAATCAGTATTTAGTCAGCTGCCTCAGTGATGTAATCAGTAATTAGTCAGCTGTCTCAGTGATGTCACCAGTATTTAGTCAGCTATTTCAGTGATGTCATCAGTATTTAGTCAGCTGTCTCGCTGATGTAATCAACATTTAGTCAGCTGTCTCACTGGTGTAATCAGTATTTAGTCAGCTGTCTCAATGATGTAATCAGTAATTATTCAGCTGTCACAGTGATGTAATCAGCATTTAGTCAGCTGTCTCAGTGATGTAATCAGCATTTAGTCAGCTGTCTCTGTGATGTAATCAGCATTTAGTCAGCTGTCTCAGTGATGTAACCAGTATTTAGTCAGCTGTCTCAGTGATGTCACCAGTATTTAGTCAGCTATTTCAGTGATGTCATCAGTATTTAGTCAGCTGTCCTACTGATGTAATCAACATTTAGTCAGCTGTCTCACTGGTGTAATCAGTATTTAGTCAGCTGTTTCAGTGATGTCATCAGTATTTAGTCAGCTGTCTCAGTGATGTAATCAGTAATTATTCAGCTGTCTCAGTGATGTAATCAGCGTTTAGTCAGCTGTCTCAGTGATGTCATCAGTATTTAGTCAGCTGTCTCAGTGATTTAATCAGCATTTAGTCAACTGTCTCAGTGATGTCATCAGCATTTAGTCAGCTGTCTCTGTGATGTAATCAGCATTTAGTCAGCTGTCTCAGTGATGAAATCAGTATTTAGTCAGCTGTCTCAGTGATGTCATCAGTATTTAGTCAGCTGTCTCAGTGATGCCATCATTACTGAGTCAGCTGTCCCGGTAAATACAACAGTACTGAGTCAGCTGTCTCAGTAAATACAACAGTACTGAGTCAGCTGTCTCGATAAATACAACAGTTCTGAGTCAGCTATCTCGGTAAATACAACATTACTGAGTCAGCTGTCTCAGTAAATACAAAAGCACTGAGTTATCTCAGTAAATACAACAGTACTGAGTCAGCTATCTCAGTAAATACAACAGTGCTGAGTCGTGTCAGTAAATACATCAGTGCTGAGTCAGCTGTCTCAAAAAATACAACAATACTGAGTCAGCTGACTCGGTAAATACAACAATACTGAGTCAGCTGTCTCAGTCAATACAACAGAACTGAGTCAGCTGTCTCAGTGAATGCAACAGTTTTCAGTTGTCTTTGTCATATAATCAGCATTGGGTCATCTGTCTCAGTGATATAATAAGTATCTAAAGGAAAGAACCCTTTTCCACACCTTTACACATATTGGGCATTACCCATTTAAGGCTGGGTCAACCTGAGAGCGAAGGTCATTTTTTAAACAAGCCCAGCTCGATCAGGACCTAAACTCATGACCTTCAGAGCTGGAGGTGAGCGTCTAGCCACTACACCACCGTGGCTGTCATAATAAACAGGTTAAACACTCCTTGCTGTCCCAACATATCTTGAATTTGGATGTTTCTGCTGCAGTGTTCAAGCGTGCCAGGAGTGCCAATCCATGTGTCATCTTCTTCGATGAGCTGGACTCGCTGGCCCCAAACAGAGGCAAGAGTGGCGACTCTGGTGGGGTCATGGACAGGTGGGTTGCTTTGTAGACACATGACTATGATAAATAGGGTAACCGTAATATTTTGAGCTAAAAATGGGACATCCCAAGCAAGTCAGTTTAACTTCACTTCCTTTTTTTTTCTAGGTCACCAGGCTGAAAGGGTTAATTACTCGCTTAACAATGGTATTAAACTCCAAAGTATTGTCACCAAGAAATAAACAAAACAATATGCTCTTTAACTGCACTTAACAAAAAATTTAAACATGCTACAATGAAACTTCAGTTCAACACATTTCAGACATTAAAAGTGTCTGTTCTAGTGCATGTTTTGTTCTCGAGCTGATAATGTCTTGATTTTTTTAAAACAAGAATTCTTTTTCTTTGGGAGTAACAACGGGATGGCCGGCGCACACCTAGTAAACAGGACTGTCACTGTGAAAACAGGATGTGTGGTTGCTTTAGTTATAACTAGAATTATAACTAGAGTGACCATACATCTGTGTTCTGTTCTTGAGCTAATAATTTATTGATTTTTTTTTTGGGGGGGGGGGGGTTGGGGGGGGGGGGGGGGGGGAAAGAGTACAAGTGGTATGGCCAGCGCACACTTAATAAACAGGACTGTCTCTGTGAAAACAGGATGGTCACTGTAGTTATCAAATGTAAAATGAAATAAAAATCCTAACCAGCGCCAGCAAGGCATTCCTAAATTCATAGGTTCAAAACCCTCCTGCCTTGGCCATCCCAACAGTGGTCAGTAGAGACTTGTGACGTCTGATACAAGGGGAATGTAGGTTGTAATGGATCAACATCATGGCACAAGGGTAGTTACCCATAAGTGCTCTGCTCTACTTCTAACTCAAGCCTGTCCGAAGAATCTCGACGCAGTTCATGAACTTTGTAGCACCAGCGAGGATCCTGAAATACTTTGGGTAGATTTTTAACTCCAAATTTTGCCCAGGCAGCGCCATTAGGCTACTCTTTTTGATTTCCAACTGCCAGAGGATTTTGATTTTTTTTATGTACACAACAATACACACACGTATCCAGTATTACTACCCAGATACCAGGGGAAAATTACTAGAAGTCCATGTGAAAATATCCCAGCCTTCACTGGGTATTGAACCCGGGACCTCCAGCACACAAGGCAGATGCCATGCATCAAGACCACTCAGCCGCCCCTCCAAGAGGAATGTGTTCCATTTACTGATTCACTCTGTTCACGTGATTATTGACTATTCCCTTTTTATATCTTTGGATATTGGGGGAGGGGAAATAAAGAATAGAAATAATTACTTTTTTTTTTTTTTTTATGTATTAGTGACCTGCAGTGTAGTGGCAAATTATTCCTCCCCACGACTCTTAATGGCAGAAGTGGTTTATGATAATATGATGCATAAATTGGGTGCCTTTATTTTGTAAGGATTATGTTAGGAAATTCCATGTATTCCTGGCCCATTTTTGTTTTGTAGTGTTTGCAGATTAAAGGGTTAATAAGCATGTAGCAAAACATGAATAATTAAGGATTTGCTGAAATTGGATTTGTTGGCCCAAAGGGCTGCCTAACTGTAAACTACAACACAGCATGCAAATCACCCTTTAAAAAGCAAATGCTGAAGGAGCACCAGCTTGTAAACTTACACAGTGCAGCCAGATTACTTTTTCCTAATTAATCTGGAGGAAGGAGAAGAGTTGTTCACGTTAATGCTTGCATCTCTGGTTTTATTTCATTTAGAGTTGTCTCCCAGTTGCTAGCTGAACTTGACGGACTGCATCAGTCCCTGGATGTGTTTGTCATCGGAGCCACCAACCGACCAGATCTCCTGGATCCTGCATTGCTGCGTCCCGGCAGGTTTGACAAGCTTCTGTACCTTGGGGTCAGCAAGGACACGGAGTCACAGCTGAGCATTCTGAGAGCTCTCACAAAGAAGTCAGTTCTGCTGTTATCTAGACCTGACTGTTGTCTAGACCTGACTGTTGTCTAGTGTCAGGGACCTAATCTACTCTACTCTACTTGGTTTATATGGCTCGCTAGGAAGGCCAACTGACAGACTCTACTACCCAAACACACTTAAGGCGACACTCCGGCTGAGTACAACCATTATCTTTAATGTACAATGAACATTAGACATACAAACACTTCAACTGGGCTAAGCAGCTCCCATCCGAAGCTGCCTTGGCGATGACAGCTTTACAATCACTAGTCACCCCAGGCCAGCTCCCATGGATCTAGGGGAGCACGACTCTTAGCTAGCAGTGTCTCAGTGCCAATCAATCCGCCGTCGATTGCCAAACGGGACTGCAGAGATACACGGAAGGTGTATGGCCTAAGCGTGCCCGGGCAGTGTTATCGCCATTACAAGGCGCGTCACCTATGATTAACTGCTTAAACAAATACTACCTGTAATATCTACTACACAAAGACCTTAACTCTCTCTTCCATCTAGCCGACAACAACAAATACAAATACGGCCTATCACAGACACCAAATACGAATATCCTATTTGTACCTAACCGTCACTAACCTAACGTTACCTTGTCGTAAACTTTTGTCCTGTCTCTCTCTCTCTCGACCAGCACACAACCGTCGTCCACAACTGTCCGCTCACAAGTCTCCCCAAACCCGCTTGGACCAAGCCTTTTGTATTTCCGCCGAGTTCATGGCCAAATCCGCAGCACTCCGTGTCGGCTGAGAGAACTCGACCTGGCCTCTAAAGTGGGCACGGCTTATTGCGTGAACGAGCTGTACGTTCACCCACTGAGTTTGCGCTGGAGGTCAACTGGTACAAGCGTGATGATTCACTATGAGACATCTGTTGTGCTTCTCATAGCCGAACTGGCCTCTGACATCTAGACCTGACTGTTATCTAGACCTGACTGTTATCTAGACCTGACTGTTACATATTATTTTGTGTGCCATATTCTTCTTCCTCTTCGCATTCACCAGCTGTAAATTCCAGAAACAGTTTTTGTTATTCATCCACGCCTGGACTTGAGTCGTGTTCCAGAACCTTAGTGTCGCTTGTACTTCCGTTTTACAGATGGCTTATTTGTATGCAGACCGTTGGTTCCTTGCCTCGAAGGAAGTCCCCAATTAGTTGACTCATACAACATGCTAGTTTATTCTTGTTTTCCCCACACTGAGGCATCGGAACCCAAACGTGGAATTGCTGTATTAATTTGAGAGCTGTGCTAACAGTGGCTAGCAAGCTCTCTACTGATCTTTGATTTACTAAACATGTTTAATTGTGTTATGATAGTCTGATTTATTATCTAATCATGTCTAGCTATATTTGCCTGATTTATTACTTAGTCACATGTCTGTGCTACATTTTTTTGGTGCTATATTGTCTAGCCACACATCTGTGCTATATTGTCTAGCCACACACATCTGTGCTATATTGTCTAGCCACACACATCTGTGCTATATTGTCTAGCCACACATCTGTGCTATATTGTCTAGCCACACACATCTGTGCTATATTGTCTAGCCACACACATCTGTGCTATATTGTCTAGCCACATACATCTGTGCTATACTGTCTAGCCACACACATCTGTGCTTATATTGTCTAGCCACACGTCTGTGCTATATTGTCTAGCCACACATCTGTGCTATATTGTCTAGCCACACATCTGTGCTATATTGTCTAGCCACACACATATGTGCTATATTGTCTAGCCACACACATCTGTGCTATATTGTCTAGCCACACATCTGTGCCCTATTCTAGTAACATTTTTGAATAGTAAGGCCATGTGACATTACTTATATCCAACCACAGCCTGCTGTCTCAGATACTGCCAGTCATTATCTGAAAAGATGTCCTTCCATGCGGTGTAATCAAATTATTCAACATTCTAACTCTTGGTCTTCCTACAGAATAAATAGGCTCAGCAAATTCACATAGAAAAAGAATTTTCAGACCCAAAATGGGCACTTCTTCTTCTAACCGCTGTCTGATTGACACCTACAGATGAATTCTTGTGATTGTTTTTATTTTGTCGGTGTTTCCTTTTAGTTCCATATAACTTTGAGTACGGTGTTGACTCATTCCAATTCCAGTTGTCCAACAAAAATTCCAAATTTGATTTTTTTCCAGCTGCCCACAGGCCTGCTATATGAAGGAAGGTTCCTTGGCTGTCTTATTTGGTTTTCTATTATTTGTGATGTGTAGTCACACCTGATATTCCGGTTCTTTGCTTCCTTGGTGCGGTGTGGTGTTTGTGGTTTTTGGGTCTGGTGTGGTCCAGATCTCTTTGTGCTGATATCTGTGGGTTTTAGCTGGTTGTTGCTGGTGCTTGGTTTACCTCGTGCTGATCGCTGCGCTGGTGCCCTATTGCTGCTTGGTTTCCGTTCTGTAATGCCGCCGGGAAAAGCCAAACAAACACCAGGTCACAATGTCTCCAACAATGCTCCTTTTCAGGATAACCAGGCCGTCACAATCTGTTGTTGTAATCAGCCCCTTTTTTTTTTCATCCACAGAGTGTGGAGAAGTAGTGGAGTTAGTGTTGACTCATTCAGCCTGTTTTCTTTTTGTAAAGTGCTGTACAAGGATCTCATTGAATCTGCGATATTTGGTAGTCGTGCAGCAAAGAAAACTTCAGAGCATGTCTTAAAGATTGCCCAGACTTTGCTAATGAGAGAGAACAATCTGGCCTACACACCTTTGAAGACAAACTGTGGGGCACCAGTGAAAATCTCAAGCACCCTGCCTTGTTCGTGATCCTGTTGGAAACGATGCCTAACAAACTTTGAAGATCTTCTCCCTGTCCATGTCTGTACTGTATTCTTTAGCCAAATATCTGATCAAAAATGTATTTCACCTGTTGCTGTCTTGCAGATTCAACCTTGCTCCAGATGTGAGTTTGGAGGCAGTGGCAGAAAGATGCCCCCGAAACCTGACAGGGGCAGATCTGTATGCCCTCTGTGCTGATGCTATGTTGTGCGCTATTCGCAGAAAGATTGCTGCCTTTGAATCTGGTGAGATTTTGTTTTCATACCAGTGTATACATAGAGGTAAAGCTTGGATTAAGGCTGTGTTATAGACATGGCTAATGAAGACATCTTTTTTAGGGCGCTTAGTGGTCATGCACCTTAGTACACTTGTTTCTGCAGCAAGGTGCTTTCATCGTTTGGAGGGGACATGTTTTATTCCTGGTAGGGTAACTACAGCTTTCAATGTTTGTGTTGTCTAGTGTGTCCTGTTATCTTTCTACTTGTTTCTATGAGTGCCCACCAGTACATGCCTGTTTAATATATGAAGTTTAAAGTTTGAACAACGGATCAACATCATGGGACTTGGGTAGTAACCCATAAGTGCTCCATTCTTCTTCTAACTCAAGTCTGAGTCCTAAGAAGCTCAGCACAGTGCACAGGCTCTGTAGCACCGGCGAGGATCCTGAAATACTTTAGGTAGATTTTTAACTCCAAATTTTGCCCGGCCAGCGCCATTAGGCTACTTACTCTCTTTGATTTCCGGACGTTAATTGTACTTGGCAGGCAAGATGTGTTGTTTTTTTAATTCACTTAACAAGGGATTCAAACCTTCAACCACTTGGTCATTATACTAGCCACTGCGCTGTGTCTCCTAGTTGTATGATCTAATGCATATTTGTCTCCACAGGTGAATGTGTCAAGGATGAACCAGTGGAGGTAACAGAAGAGGATTTTAATGAAGCACTAGAGAATCTAGTTCCATCTGTTTCTGAAGAGGAGCTGGACAAGTACGAGCAGATTCAAGCCGCATGGAAAAATTAACTTGTAGAACTTGCCAGGTTTATACAGATTTAAATCTCACTATTGGAAGCTTTTTTGGCATAACTTCTTCTGTTGTCCTACTGCTTGTAGGGCAAAGTGTCACAGAGAGGCGTTAGACATAGTTTCTAATCTTTTACTAGTTGCGTATCTTGTGTTAATGTCATATTGCATTTCTGTAGTGTCTCTTTTACTCCCTCCACCCATCTGTTTCGTGGTCAACCTCTTGCCTTGTAGCCTGCTGATCTTATGTAATACACTCCAGCTGCTGGCTGATTTTCTTTTATTGTGACCAGATAACCAAACCATTTGATTCTTTGATGTTGCATGAAGTCATTCACCAGTTCTGTGCCTACAATTGTTCTTAGTTCTTCATTGATGACACTGTCTCGTCTTGTTTTTCTAGCCACATTTCTTACACATCTCATCTCACATTTGGCTAACAGGCAGGGAAAGGAAACCATTAAGAGAAGAATTTGTGGGAGAATAATTTAAGTATTATCACAGCCATACTGAGTTGATATATGTATGTGTGTGTGCATTTATATTTTTCATTTCTTCTTCTTTTTTAGTGTGTATGTGTGTTTGTATGGGGAAGGGGGAGGGGGGGGGGGTGGCAGGTCTGTTGTCCTGACTGTCAGGTCATGTTTTGGTCTGTTATTCGCACTGTCACTCACAAGCCACAATGTGGGCCACAAGTTATAACAGTTACCATAATTCACCCTATGACCCAAATGTGATACTATGCCCATAATGCCCCCGTAATTTACCTGTAGCCCACAAGTAGTGATATGATGCCCCCATAATTCACCTGTAGCCTACAAGTAGTGATATGATGCCCCCATAATTCACCTGTAGCCTACAAGTAGTGATATGATGCCCGCATAATTCACCTGTAGCCCACAAGTAGTGATATGATGCCCGCATAATTTACCTGTAGCCCACAAGTAGTGATATGATGCCCCCATAATTCACCTGTAGCCTACAAGTAGTGATATGATGCCCCTATAATTCACCTGTAGCCCACAAGTATTGATATGATGCCCCCATAATTCACCTGTAGCCCACAAGTAGTGATATGATGCCCGCATAATTCACCTGTAGCCCACAAGTAGTGATATGATGCCCCCATAATTCACCTGTAGCCCACAAGTAGTGATATGATGCCCCCATAATTCACCTGTAGCCTACAAGTAGTGATATGATGCCTCCATAATTCACCTGTAGCCCACAAGTAGTGATATGATGCCCCCATAATTCACCTGTAGCCCACAAGTAGTGATATGATGCCCCCATAATCACCTGTAGCCCACAAGTAGTGATATGATGCCCCCATAATTTACCTGTAGCCCACAAGTAGTGATATGATGCCCCCATAATTCACCTGTAGCCCACAAGTAGTGATATGATGCCCCCATAATTCACCTGTAGCCCACAAGTAGTGATATGATGCCCCCATAATTCACATGTAGCCCACAAGAAGTACTATGATGCCCCCATAATTCACATGTAGCCTACAAGTAGTGATATGATGCCCCCATAATTCACCTGTAGCCTACAAGTAGTGATATGATGCCTCCATAATTCACCTGTAGCCTACAAGTAGTGATATGATGCCTCCATAATTCACCTGTAGCCTACAAGAAGTGATATGATGCCTCCATAATTCACCTGTAGCCTACAAGAAGTGATATGATGCCTCCATAATTCACCTGTAGCCTACAAGAAGTGATATGATGCCCCCATAATTCACCTGTAGCCTACAAGAAGTGATATGATGCCCCCATAATTCACCTGTAGCCTACAAGAAGTGATATGATGCCCCCATAATTCACCTGTAGCCTACAAGAAGTGATATGATGCCCCCATAATTCACCTGTAGCCTACAAGAAGTGATATGATGCCCCCATAATTCACCTGTAGCCTACAAGTAGTGATATGATGCCCCCATAATTCACCTGTAGCCTACAAGTAGTGATATGATGCCTCCATAATTCACCTGTAGCCTACAAGTAGTGATGTGATGCCTCCATAATTCACCTGTAGCCTACAAGTAGTGATATGATGCCCCCATAATTCACCTGTAGCCTACAAGAAATGATATGATGCCCCCATAATTCACCTCGGGGGCCCACAAGTAGTGATATGATGCCCCTATAATTCACCTCGGGGGCCCACAAGTAGTGATATGATACCCCCATAATTCACCTCTGGGGCCCACAAGTAGTGATATGATGCCCCTATAATTCACCTCAGGGGCCCATAAGTAGTGATATGATGCCCCTATAATTCACCTCAGGGGCTCACAAGTAGTGATATGATGCCCCTATAATTCACCTCAGGGGCCCATAAGTAGTGATATGATGCCCCTATAATTCACCTTAGGGGCCCATAAGTAGTGATATGATGCCCCTATAATTCACCTCAGGGGCCCATAAGTAGTGATATGATGCCTCTATAATTCCCCTCAGGGGCCCATAAGTAGTGATATGATGCCTCTATAATTCACCTCAGGGGCCCATAAGTAGTGATATGATGCCCCTATAATTCACCTCAGGGGCCCACAAGTGATTCAAAATCCTCATCAGTGACAGTGTGTCCCATGAGCTACATTCTATTTATAGCTGTCCAGAGTGGTCCAAATTTGTGAGTTCTTGACTTTTGTGTGTATGTGTGTGTGTTTGTGTGTGTGAAAAACAAAATTTCATACATAACATTTCATTGAAAGGTTGCTTCAGATATGGATTGGTAATACATCACACATACTCCCACATTTGGCACACAACCTCATTTACCGCCACCATGTTGAACACCACTGCTCTACGTCGTAGGATGTAGATCACCAATGGATGAAAGGACTAGTCATCATCCCCTGTGATGGACAAACAACAACAACAACATCAACATCATAGGGCAGAAGTACAAGATTGTAAAGTCCATAACCAAGGGTTTTACACATTTGTGAAAACAAAACCTTAGGACCAATCTTTGGACTCATCAAAAATGCAAACAGCGGGGAATGGAGTATGGGAAACAGCAATGAAATTCATCATCTGTATAATCCCAACTGATCACTGGCATCATGAGCTCTAATAGATTGAAATGGCTGGGGTATATTGAATATCTAATAGATTGAAATGGCTGGGGCACATTGAATGTCAGATGACAGGGAGGTGAAAACTGTATACACAAGGGAGATGAATGGTCGTAGACCACGAGGCAGACCAAGAAGATGATGGAGAGATAATATCCAGACACACCTGCAAACACTTGGTGTCACCATCTGGAAAGAGAAGACCAACCACAGAAATGAATTGAGGGGGGTGATATCTGCAGCAATGAACCTGAAGGGCTCCAAATGCTGAAGAAGAAGCAGAAGAAGAAGAAGAAGAAGAATTGCTGGTAGAAAAGTTGCACTAATTTAATTCAAAAATTGTTATAATTATGTTATTTAATCTATGTCAAAGGGTACATTATTTAAGCATAATTCTTATTATTCATACTTCTCATAAATTGTGCTTTATGTTTGTGTTAGATTATTTAGTTAAGTTTGTGTTAATTATGTGTGACTAATAGTTATTAATTAGTTTATATTTTCATTCAATGGATAATTTGTTTCTGTGTCACATTTTAATGTGCCTGTTATTCAGTTACTGATTAAAACATGTTACTTCACTCGGTATCATGTGTTTCAGCCCAGAGATTTCTTTCACGTGGTCTTTTTAAACATGTCAGTCATTGAAGTAGTCAGTCATGCAGGCAGTTATAGAGTCAGTCAGTCATGCATGGAGCCAGTTATGAAGTCTGTCATACATCATTCAGCCATGTATTCAGTCAGTCATAGAGTCATTCATTCATAGAGCCAGTCAGTCATGCACTGAGTCAGTCAGTTGTAATTCAGTCATAAATTCAGTCACCATCCTGCATTCAATCACCCATGGAGTCCGTCATGCAGTCAATCATAGTTAATAAGGGAGTCCGTTGATAAGTCTATGAAGGCTCGGGTGGCCGGGTCACACCTGGAGAATTGAGGATGGCAGAGTCCCTAAGGACATCCTTTATGGTGAATTAAAGACAGGAAGAAGATGTCGAGGCCGACCTCTCCTACAGTATAAAGATGTGTGTAAGTGAGTCATGAATGATACAGGTATTGAGGTGGACTCATGGGAACAAAATGCCATGGATCTTGTTGTGTGGAAAGAGCATATCAGGAAGGGAATGAGACTGAAGGAAGAAATTATTGCAGAAAGGATGAGAGCTGAGCGTCTGAAAAGAAACAGATTAAACACAAATGTTGTTATCAATGGTCCTGAAATCCCATGCTATCATTGTGGAAGACTTTTCTTGACACGGGTGGGTCTTGCTAGTCACACTCGCCATCACCATGGACTGTGAGTCTCATGCCTCCTCATAGCGCAATATAACACTATCATCTGGAAAGACAGAAAGGTGCCAATGAAGGAATGATAAAGCTGCCATTAAAGCACACCGAATAACGTATATATCTTCGCCCTTATCTGAGATGAGTAGGTGTTGAGAATAACTGACTGGAGCTCCCTTTTTTTGTGTGTAAATATTTTCTGGAGCCAGCATGAATCAACTGGATATATTCAAGTATCTGGGTACCTTGTTATCAACAGATGGAGAACATACCTGTATACATGACCAGGAATACCTTTCTTTCTCAGGTGTTTATTCTTAAGGAGACAATTGGCTCACCATGTTCTGGTTCAGTTTCTTCTTGTTTTAAAGTCCATGCCGTGTGGCATTGGTAGTCATGTCTATCCACAACCTTCTGTCTCGTGTACTTCCAGTCAACTTTTACACAGATGATCCTCCATGTCATGATGTCAAACTGTCCAGCATCTGTTCTCTCAGTCTTCCTCTACCTCTCCTCTCCTCCAACTTTCCTACTGTTACAATGTACTCCAGTTCTTTCCTTCTCATGACATGACCAAAGAATGTAGATTATCTGTTTCTGATGTGAGCAATGAGTTCTCTTC